CAGGCATAAAGAAAAGGCCCGGTTGTGAGGATTAGGAAGGGACTGAAAGATTCTTGGGTGCTTTGTAAATAAAAGGAGAAGAGATGTTTAGTAAGATGGATATTAGCTTCATTATTTGAAAAAGGGAGATCAAGATGAATAAGGGCAATGAAGAAACCAACCTTTAGATTTATTTTAAAGAGTCAATGAGGACTTCAGAGAAAAAAGACTTAATGAAAGAGTGGAGGTAGAAACTGGACTATAGATTATTAAGAAGTGAGAGGAAATCATTCCTAATAGCTCAAGAAATTGGATTGTGAAAACAATATGAGACAAAGGACTACAGTTGAAAGTAAACAAAAGTTTTGTTTCTTTTAACTAAAGCTTATTTGAAGGCAGAAATAACAGACTCAGGAGCCAGAGATCTTGAGGTGGCTAGAAAGACTGTATAAATGGGCCACACCCTGAGATAAGAGGGAGGGCACATGGAGCTCCATGAGAAGAATTCTGGCTTGATACTAAAAGTTATAAAACACGGAAGAATATGTCCTGCTTCTGATTCCACCTTTACCAAATGAAGAGTAATGTTTCCTCCTCCTATCATGTCCCAAGGTCCCTCTCTCTTCTCTCTGAGCCACACAGAGCGCAAGGCAGAGGCCTGAAGTCCACTGATAGGTGAGGGACTCCCGTGGCTGTGATAGGATCTCTGGGCTAGCATCCGAATGGCAAGTGTCTTAGATGCCTTTTTGGTTCCTTCACTCTCTACTCCTCAGATGTGTGTCTTTATTTTAGTAGACTTGTTTTATGAATGTGAAAATTTTATTTTTAATGTGTATTTATATTTAGAAAAATTAATTTCTTTTTATAGATAATATACTCACATGATTTAAGAACATATGTTTAAAGATATCCAATAAAAATTCTCTCTCATCATTATCCCCCATTTGAGTTCCCACTTCACAATGGTGATCACTGTTGCTTTTAGTTCTTATGTTCTTTAAGAAGTGCTTTATACATACAAGCAAATGCAAACATATTTATGAAGCAATATTTTAAAACCTGGTAAATAAGTTGCAACCCTGTCTTTCTACTCAAAAGTGCCTCAGTTAACTCTGTGAGTTCTTAAATGATGGTTCCTTTCCCAGCCTCTCAGTGGGGGTTGAGAATTTGGTGAATATGGCTGCTTTCCTCAGAATCTCCCATGTGGATAAGGTAATGGAGCCTCTCAGGTCTGAGTGCTCACCTTCTGTAGGAGCTTCTCAAGGCCTAAAATTAAAAGTGAAAACCCAAACAAGCCATTGAACTAGACTCAGTTGTTCTAATACATTCAGAGGATACATAGGACCCACTGTCTCCATTTCTAGGTGTTTATCTGAAAAACCCAAAACACTGATTTGACAAAGTATATACACTCCTATGTTCATTACAGCATTATTTCCAATAACCAAAATGTGGAAGCAACCTAAGTGTCCATTGATAGGAGAATGAATAAAGAAGATGTAGTACATATATACAATGGAGTATTACTCAGCTGTAAAAAGAATGAACTATTGTCATTTGCAATAACACGGATGGACCTAATGGGTATGATGCTAAGTGAAATTAAGTCAGACAGAAAAGCAAATATCATATGATTTCACTTATATGTGGAAACTAAAGAAAACAACAAACAAAAAAAAACCACAAATGGACTCATAAAATATTTTGATGGTTTTCGGATGGGAGGGGGTTTGAGAGCTGGATGAAAAGGTGAAGGGATTAAGAAGTACAAATTGCCAGTTACAAAAAATCACAGGGATGTCACAGCATAGGGAATCCTATATAATAAAAGACTAATAGGCTAGGTGTCCAGTCGTCTGTTCAACCAATCAAAGTGTACTATGCTAATGATATGCTAAGACTGCTCAACCACTTGCTATGACATGCACTGACCACCAGGCAGAGAGCAGATAGTCGACCTGTTGAATAGTCACTATGATGTGCACTGACCTCCAGGGAATAATGCTCTATGACACATGCCTCTATGATACCCACCCTCTTTGACACCCAGCCTCTATGACACCCCTGCATTATGACACTACTACTCTATGACAACCCCCCTCTATGACACCCTCCTCAATGACACACCTCCACTATGACACCCTCCTCTATGATACCATGCTCTATGACACCCTTCCTCTATAACAACCCTGCTCTATGATATCCTCTATGACACCCTGCTCTATGACACCCTCCTCTATGACACCACTCTTCAATGACACCCTCCTCTATGACACCCTCCTCTATGATGCCCTTCTCTATGACATCATCCTCTATGACACTCCTTCTCTATGAAACCCTTCCCCTATAACAACCCTGCTCTATGACATCCTTCACTGATACCTCTCCTCTATGAAACTCTATGACACTCTATGAGAACCTCTATAACAACCTGCTGTATGACACTCCTCCTCTATGACACTGTCCTATATGACAACCTTCTCTATGACACCTCCTGTATGACACCCCTTTTCTATGACACCCTCCTCTATGAAACCCTCCTTTATGACACCCTCCTCTATGATATTCCCCTCTATGACACCCTCCTCTATAATTACCGCACTTTGACACCACCCTCTGACACCCTTCTGTATGAAAACCTTCCCCTATAACAACCCTGCTCTATGACACCCTCCTCTATGACACACTCCCCTATGACACCCTCCTCTATGACACTCCTCTATAACACCCTCCTCTATAAGAAACCTGCTCTATGACATCCTCCTGTATGACACTCCCCCTCTATGACACCCTCCTGTATAACTCGCCTGCTCTATGACACCAACCTCTATGACACCCTCCTCTGACACCCTCCTATATGACACCCTCTTCTATGACATTCCCCTCTATGACACCATCTATAAATACCCTGCTCCATGACACCCTCCTCTATATCCTATTCTGACACCCTCCTCTATGACATCCTACTCTATGACATCCTCCACTATGACACCTCTCCTCTATGACACCCTCCTCTATGACACTCTATGATAACCTCTATAATAACCCTGCTGTATGACAACCTTCTCTATGACACCCTCCTGTATGACACCCCTTTTCTATGACACCCTCCTCTATGAAACCCTCCTTTATGACACCCTCTATGATATTCCCCTCTATGACACCCTCTATAATTACCGCACACTTTGACACCCTCATCTATGACACCCTTCTGTATGAAAACCTTCCCCTATAACAACCCTGCTCTATGACACCCTCCTCTATAATTACCGCCCACTTTGACACCCTCCTCTATGACACTCCTCTATAACACCCTCCTCTATAAATACCCTGCTCCATGACACCCTCCTCTATGACATCCTATTCTGACACCTCTCCTCTATGACACCCTCCTCTATGACACTCTATGATAACCTCTATAATAACCCTGCTGTATGACAGCCTTCTCTATGACACCCTCCTGTATGGCACCCCTTTTCTATGACACCCTCCTCTATGAAACCCATCCTATTCTGACACCCTCCTCTATGACATCCTACTCTATGACATCCTCCACTATGACACCTCTCCTCTATGACACC